ATTATTTTTTAATTTGTTATTTTTTAAATGTTAATAAATATGAAATATATAGTTTATAAAAAAACTTAATAAATTAATTCTTATTTAATTAGTGAAGAATATTAAAAGTTTGTCAAAATACAATTATTTTTTAGATAAAATTTGATATATAACAAGTAGGAATAATAAAATCCAAATAATATGACATAATAAAACCTAATAACCATAAACTAAAAATAAAATAGTAGATACTTCTAAGATTGATATACAATTATTAGAGAAAGATAAAAAAAAAAAAATATTTTTTTGTTTTTTCAAATTAGGTGAAGAGATTGGAAAAAAAATTGATTGAAGAAATTAAGAAAATGTGAAGGAACAAATGTGAGAGATAAAGAAAAATATAATGATCTGATTGGTTGAAAGATTTAAAAAAAACAAAAGAATGAAAAGTAGGTAGGAGAAAAGTAAAGAGTGTGAAATATAGAAGAAATTTTCTTACATATAATGAGAAAAAAAGAAATACTTTAAAAAGATTAATAATTTAAGGTTTATATTTAAATATAAAGTTGGGTGAGGAGGAGGATGAAACCAGGTTGGGGATTGCATTACCCATCTATACCCCCCACCCCAACTTTTTAAAACGGTAAAAATTTGAACTTGCATCCACATCCGATCAACTCAATTTTTCCTTGCCAAACTTGGGAAGGGAACATATTGGTCCCCACGGGTGCAGGTGTAATTATCATCCCTAAGTACAATGTAATACCCCCACTCTTCTTTTTAACCAATTCCCAAAACAATTATGAAGCTCCTTTAATCCCCAAGGTTGGCCATATCATGATTTTTCAGTTTTTAAGGCTTGTAACGAGCTAAAAATAATCAAGATGTAAAGGTTAATAAGGCCCAAAGGGGTAAATAAGTGGATTTAATGCAAGGTAGGTCAATATGACTAAGTGGATAAAAAATAAAAGAAAGCCTAAATCGTATCAATAATGCATGTAAAAAATGATATCAATAAAAAGTAAAATCAATTTCAAGAACATCTCCAATCATGAGTGAATTGTTGAACATTCAAGGACTTGTTGTTGAACTTAATGGACATAAAGCTTGTTGATTTTGATGATGATTCAAGAACACAAGACTTAGAATGTTAAAGACTTGTTTTATAGTGTAATAACTCTGTTTTGATTAGATTGAGTCTGTAATATTAGAGTTTGAGATAGCCGGTACATAGTCTGCACCTTAGAAGCTTCAAAAAGCTCAAATTTATCAAAGAGGCTCGGCTTTAATCGATTAATTGGTGAAATAATCGATTAAAGCAGTGAGAAAAACCATTTTCTCGTATCAGCTCATCTGTTTTAATCGATTAACACCCCTGTTAATCGATTAACAGGCCTGTTAATCGATTAACAGGTCTTTTAATCGATTAAAATAGAGAGTTTTGGGGTTCTGTTGATTTTGGCTCTGTAATAATCGATTAACTCTTGATTTAATCGATTATTTCAGTAAGGTTTCGAATTTTAACTTCAAATCAACCTTATTTTCGAAAACCCTATTTCCAAGAACCCTAGTTTCGAAAATCCCAATTCCAAAACCCTAATTTCTCTACTTAAGCTTCTCCTTGGCACTCAGAAAAGAAGAACAACCTTTTTCATACAAAAGTTAAGTGTTGTGAGTGCCAAAGAACTGTTTGTTGCAAGAAAAAGGGGCTTTTGGAACCTGGTGTGGGCTAGAAGCGATAAGAATCACTAAGTGGAGTTCTTAGTGGATTGTGTGTTGTGCCGTCTCTAGGGAAAGTTGTTCTTCATCTCTTGTGGATTTCAAGAGAGGTGTTTTCTTTACTTTATCTTTTCAATTGTAATCTGTTTGTAACAACCGTGATTATAGTGATATCGTTAATCCTCTATTTGAGTGATTAGCAACTGGACGTAGGGTCTTTTGATCCGAACCAGTATAAATCTCCTGTGTAAGATTCTATTTCTATCTCTATTTACATTTACACAGTTTTTAATCGGTAAAATTTGGGGAAAATTTTGAAAACCTAATTTTTGTTAAGAAACCAATTCACCCCCCTCTTGGTTTTTGTCCGACCACGCGAACATTCTGCTGCGCGATTCTAACATGAATCACACAAGAAATAAAATAGGCTCAAATCTCCCAAAGGTATATTCATCCACAACCTAATTATCAAGAAAAACTAACTAAACTCAAATACAAGGAACAAATTTATCATGTTTGAAACTTCTAACTAAGAATGATGAAACAAATACTGCTTACAAAAAATTTTAAAATCTTAGGAATCCAATGACAAGTGTGCTAGAACAATGCCAAACCTAAACTAACAATAACAATATTTTACCACACTTGAGTCAAACATTGTTCTAAATGTGAGAATATATGTTAAAACAATTAAATCGACAATGAAAACAATATAGTTCTCTCCTCACTAATAGAAAGTATCTTAGTAAGTAGCATCAGCTCTTCCTGGGGGAATGCCTAAAGCCAGATGTTTTAACAAGCTATCCACAAGCATTAGTTCTCCCCCTGACTTGCCTTCAAACCTCAAGATCATCAGCGAATGACGCCTTCTTTCAAAAGTCCTCCCTCTTCGCTTTGCCCCAGTGAAAGAGATTGAAAAATATTTGTATCTGATTCCACGTGTCTTGCTACGTCAACTTCCGTAGATAGGAAGAAAGCTTAGTAGTAGGAAGGAAGCAAACACTAGTGAAAAAATGACATTTTACGTCACCCAATTGTCGTCGCATGTCAAAATATTCGACGTAAATAAAACGCGGTGGCAATTTTGTAAATAAGAGGTGAAACTTTTACGTCGCATATTGTAGGAGGTGACGTTAAAAACCTCTTTTACGTCGTACCTAGTACAACGCGACATAAAAGAGAGTTTTTTAAGTCACGTGGGGTGTGCACGACATAAAAAATGATACTTTTTACGTCACGTGGGGGGTGCGCGACGTAAAAAGTAATATTTTTTACGTCATGTGGGGGGTGTGCGACGTAAAAAGTATCACTTTTTACGTCACATGGGGGTGCGCGACATAAAAAGTGATACTTTTTACGTCACATGGGGGTTGCACGACGTAAAAAGTACACTTTTTACGTCGTGCACCCCCCACGCGATGTAAAAGAGGCTTTTTACGTCACGTGCTAGGGTGTGCGACGTAAAAAGTTCTTTTTATTCTCTTCCAGACCCACTCCCGCATCTCGCGCCGCAAGGGTTTTTTAGAACGACAATGAGAACGACGACAACAGCTACCTTTCCACACCATTTTCGATCATATTGGCAGTGAAGAACATCAACATTGTGTCTCATTTTACGAATTTAACATTTCTCCTCGATTGGATTCGAGTTTGAAATCATTTTCGTGTTTACTTGAGGTTAGTATTCTATGTCTCCTAATATATGTTCAAATTGAATCCGTGATTGTTTTTGGGGATCTCAATCACGTCATTGTATGAATGTCTTCACTGGATTGTTATTGGAATGTCATTATTTTTTGAGTGCATTTTCGGTTTACACACTCCATATACGTGCTTTGTTGTTTGTATATTAATTTATTTTTAAATATAAATTTTGAATCTCTAGGAGTGACGAAACTTTATAACATAATATGAATCGAAGTTGGATGAATGCACGTCGTATTAGTGAAGAGTACGAAAAGGGAGTTGATGAATTTTTGAAATTTGCTAGTGAAAATGGAAAAGGTATTGAATAATATATGGCTTTTTTTCATTTAGAATCGTGTCTATAACTAATGTTCTAAGTGGAAAACCCAAAACAAAGACTTTGCAGTTTATTTATCCTAAGGTTAGAAACTTATTATAATAAGTGAATACCATAATTATTGTTTGTATTTAAATTTTGAAAATAACATTATATTTTATTCATCATTTCGAGTGTAATAAGCAAACAAACTCATTTGAATGTGGTTACTATGTTATGTATTGGATGAGAGCCATAGTTTGTGCGGGTATAACTGATTCTTGGATCGGATGTAATTGCTTTCAGCATTAGTTAAGTTTATTTAACTTTATGTGTGTTGCATGTTTACAAGAGTCAAATTAATGTTTCAGGTATTGCAAGATCCATCTCCATTGCCAGAATATGATATCACACAAATTAGAGAATAATGGGCTATGTTTTTTGTTCAACAATTCTAGTACTTAATTTTTTAGGTTATTGTTTATATTATATTGTGTGTATTATGTAGTTTAGGTAGCTTAGTTTGTACTAACTTTTAGTTTGTATTAACTTTTAGTTTGTAATAGATTTTAGTTTGTAGGTTATTGTTTGTATTATATTATTTTATTATGTAGTTTGAATTATATATAATATTATATTTTTTAATTACATAGCTAAAGAAGCTTGAACCTCTGGATTGTTTGGTTATAATATATATTTGCAGGTTTTGGTCGTAAGACAAAATAAACCCAATTTTTTTAAAAAAGGAGCAAATTTACGTCGTGTATAGCAATATGCGACGTAAATTTATGTCGCGTATAACAATACATGACGTAAATTTGCTCCAAATTTTTTAATTTTTGATACTTTTTACGTCTGTTTAGTGTAAATTCAACGTAAATTATCGTCGGGTCTCGATAATTGACGTGAATTTACGTCAGGCTAAGGGTCCGACGTAAATTTACGTCTCCCGTTTTAACGTCAGTCTTAAATGCAACGTAAAAAACCCAAAATACCTGACGTAAAAAACCTTTTTTGTACTAGTGAAAGAAAAGTATACCCTACATGTCATTAGGTGGAAGTTCAAAGCATCGACGATGAGTAGATGGAAGCACCAATGAAGAAAGTCAAGAGTGCAGGTATAACCTTCTTGACAGAAGAAATCTTGCTAGATAGGAAGAAGCATACATAAGCGACCTCTTTTTCTCACTGAAGGGACTATACCAACCAAAGCAAAAACCAAAAAAGGGATCCATCATTAACAACTTAAATACTGCCTTATGCATAATTTGATTATCAACAGGGCGAGTTGATGGACTACCATGACAATAAAGAGCTCACATTTCAAGGTAAGATCGTCTCTGGATTTAGGATCAGACTTCGGAGTTTGTGCTCTACTAACGGAAGTAACCTTACTTAGGGGTTTTGCAAGAGGAAGGGACCAAGCCCTACCTATACCTTGAGAGTGGGCAACGAGATGGCCTACTAGGTCCTACCTAAACCATGATTCGAAATTGAAATAAAGAAGGCCAATTTATCTATATGTGGAATCAACCATCAATTCAGAACTTTTCTAGTTGAGTATATTACATTCCCACCCTTCTGTAGTCATCATTAACGAATTGGCATTAACGGGGTTTATTCAGTTTTATGATTCCGCATATAAAGGAAAATACTAGGAAAGATATAAGAAAAGAAAAAAAAAAAACAAAGAAAGAATAAAAGGAAACAATAATAAAAGTCTTCAAGGGCCTAAAGAGACACTTCATTAACCAAGATAGCTTCAACGAGGGCCTTCTCTTCATGTATGTTTTCATGAAATAAATTAAGCTGGTGACATTAACTTTAGAAAATTTAGCAGTAGCATAATCTTTGATTTCAATTACACCATGGGAAAAACCCTAGTAATAATAGAAAGGTCTATCCCTTCAAGAACGAGGCTTACCAATAATAAGTTTTAAGTGAGTTAAACAATAACACTCTTTGGCCTACAAGGAACTCTTTCCTCAAGATCTTACTATCATGAAATTTTCTCACTTTTTTTGTGTACGTGTTTGGGTTCTTATAGGCCTATAGGAAAATCTCACAAGCTCATGTAATTGAAGCTTTTTCTTTATACCAACCTGGTCAAGTGTCAAGTTATAACATTGTACTACCGAATAAGCACGATGCTCAATCTTCACTGGAAGGTGACATGCTTTACCGAACATAACATGAAATGGGGACATGCCTATTGAACATTGGTAAGTTGTCCTATGAGCTCATAGATCGTAATTCGACATTCTACTCCAATCTTTACTAGGAAAATCAATTTATGCAATATCATCTTAATTTCTCTATTAAAAACCTCAACTTGTCCATTATCATAGGGTGATATGGTGTAAAAACTTTATGTGTAACCTCATACTTTTGGAACAAATTTTGTTAGAAAAGTAGTTTTAGATCAAGAGGGGGGGGTGAATTGATCTTTAAAAGTTTTTCGCAAATAACAGATTATCTAATTCAAAAATTAAGTTTAAAGATCTGTTCTTGAATCACAAAGCAATCAATCAAAATAATGCAGCAACAGAATTTAAAGGAGAGAAAGGTTAAGAAAGATATCACCAGTATTTTATACTGGTTCACCCAATACCAGGGTTACGTCCAGTCACCAGCCAAATTCCAGCTGGGTTCCACTAGATTAAATGTTTTACAGATTCAAGAATCTTACACCTAATCTATCACAAGAACCAAATTTCAGTTCCTGCACTCAACCTCTCACCAAGAACCAAATTCCATTTCTTGATAACCTCTACAACCAAATTCTAGCTGTAGAGAAACCAGTGCCCAAATTCCAGGCACCAACACCTAACCTTTCACCAAGAACCAAATTCCAGTTCTTGACAACCTCTACAACCAAATTCCAGCTACAGAGAAACCAATGCCCAAATTCCAGGCACCAAACAATACAAAAAGAATGTAAAAGAATTGAAAAAGAAGAAACTAGAAAGCTCAAACCAGTTTATGCTATTCTGCAGTGAGTTTCTTCTTTAAAGAAAAGCAATATGCCTCAAGAACGATTTTTAAAGAACTTCTCAAAAATTGCCGCGAATCTTTCTTGAAAAGAGTGCTAAAGTTAGTTGATTGATTGCTTAAGGATGTGTGAAAACTTATGTCCAATGTATGTTTAAAAAGTTCAAGCCAAATCTGATTTTATAGAATATTTTCAAAACTGCTGCATTAATTAATCTGTTAAACTATCCGTTTAATCTGTTAAAAGAGTCGTTTCAATCTATTAAAAGTCCTTTTAATCCATTAATACGTTCTTGATTCTTTAATAGATTTGTTTTAACTGATATGACAACGTTTATATCAGTTAAAACACTTTACAGAAAATCTTCTAAGTTTATTTAATCGATTGTTTCGCGATTCAATCGATTTAAATACTGCAAAACTTTCTTGTAAAACTTTTCAAGTTATTTTAACTGATAAAAATAGGTTTTAATCGATTAAAACTCTGTACATAATTTTTCCAAGTTGTTTTAATCGGTTAAAATGTGTTTTAATCGATTGAAAGAGTTCTGATCGGTCATAACTCAATTTTGATCGATCATAACCGATTCTGATCGGTCATAATTACATTCTGATCGATCATCCTGAACCTTTCAGTGATTTTAATCGATTGAAAAAATTCTGATCGATCATAATTCAAATCTGATCGATCACATCTAATTCTGATCGGTCATATTTGTATTCTGATTGATCATAATGAGTTCCAAATGGTTTTAATCGATTAAAATCAAGTTGTATCGATTAAAATATTGTAAAAACACTTCTTTGAACATTCTAAATGATTTTAATTGGTTCTTTCAAAACTATATCAGTTAAAAACATGTTTGAGAAAGCTTTTGTCAAAATACTTTGTTTTTAATTGTTTAAAATGATTTTAGAGGCATTTTGTAAAATCATTTAAGTGAAGAAACCTCATGCAGCAGAAAAGATAAAATGATTATACCTAAGCATAGCTGTGGACACACTAACTTTTCTACTCTTCTATCTTAGTGACTTTTGTCCCCTGCAAAGTTGCTTTTGACTTCATCTTTGACTTCATGAAATCAATGAGATCTTTGCCAAAGTATTTCAATGAGATCTTCATCACTTTCAGTCTCCCCCTATTTGATGAAGACAAACACCACTTTTGAAAACAAAACTCTGTAAAAGAAGTCACTTGATAATACAGATTAGTGAGTAATCAAAAATGAATTATCTTCCTATTTCTCCCCCTAAATTGTTGCTCCCCCTAAATTAAGAGTTATTTCTCCCTTTAAATTGATCAAAAGTAAAAGAAACTATTTCTCCCCCTTTTGACTTCATCAAAAAATAGGGAACAGAAGAGAAACAATGCATAGGTATGTATTGAAAAGATTCTGAAAATAGAAAAAAAATGAAAAATACGATACTTTACTCATGTAAAGATCAATCAAAGTTGATTCAAACTTATCTTCATTAACACGTTTGTAATGAATACAATTAACACGTGTAAAGATAAGGGAATCACGCTTTAGTAGCATGTTACAAGAACAACCATTAACTAAAGCCTTTAATTTTTCTTTCCAGAATAAAAATCGATTAAAAAGAGGACAAAATCGATTAAAATGTTCTTGTTAATGATTTTAATCGATTGAAATAAAATTTTAATCGATTAAAACCTTTAAGAATTTCAAAGATATGATACATTAGTGAATTTAATCGATTAATTCGACTTTTAATCGATTAAAACAGTAAAGAAAAATGTTGTATAAATTCTTTTAATCGATTTAAAAGATTTTTTATTGATTAAAACACCCAGTTTTGAAAACTATGAAATGTTTGAAACGAATTTATCATCATTAGTCTAGTAGATGCTTTGTAAAACTGATCATCTAGAAGGGTGTTTAACAGCAATATCAACTACATTGATTAAATTTTCACTAATAGATCCATCAAAATCACAATAAGATCTTATTTAGCTAATTATAATGATGTAAGCTAATTTTTTAAAGATTTTAATCAATTGATACTGAAGTTATAATCGATTGTTTTGTTATGAAAAGTGTTCCCTTTAATCAATTTAATCGATTAATTCGATCTTGTATCGACTAAAGCTCTCGGGGATCTATATTGAATTCTATCTATGCTAGTTTGAATTGAATTAAACCTACATTATATTAATTCAAAGCTAAAGATAATGTGCCTGGTATATAACTAGTAATATTACGGACCCGGAAAAATAAGCATAAAAAATAAGCGAGTAAAGAAAGATGAGAAGGGACCCTTTTTATCCATACTTCCCGATTATTTGTGTCGGATATCAAAATTTATGACTCAGTCATTTGATCCCTACCAACTTTAAAAGGCCATAGGCTTCACTTTTTGTTGGAACCAATTTTGCTTTATCAACCATTAAGACACCAACAATTGTCTCTCCCGTATCGACAATAGACACGAAACTTTTCCTGTAAAGTAATCTTTTGCATGGCATTTACTTGTTACTATTGTCCGTATTACAGTCCACGGTTGTTCTTACAATGGAATTATCATCTACTACACATTAGAGGCAAAACCATGTACTGACTGACGTACTTTTAGTATCAAATCCCACACAGAATGCACGATACCATAAATCGCATGAATCACAGGTTAATGATGTACCGAGATCAGACTCTCCTTTAATAGTAGCCAACCCATTTCAAACCTTACAGTCATCACCATTCAAGCAAATAACTGCATTCTTAATGTAGTATGAAGGAAATGATAGCGTGTTATTCCTCCCTTCAAATGGATCAGTCATCATTATCTCTGAGGAATGAATTTTCTTCAACTTTGTTGTTTCCAAGTGGTATCATATACTCGGAACACATGCATACAAAACAGAACTAGTGATGACAAGAATCCAGAACTCCCTGGTCAATAACCATATCCATACATATTTCATACATCACTATTATCATGGGCATCAAAAAGCATCGTATTCGTCACGAAATTTGCCTTCATTGAGGGAAGACAGTTATGTTGGTTCCACAATAACATCCGAAACTTCTTTAGAATCATCGAAAAGATCCTCTTGTTGGTTTGTTGTTAAGGATGCTAGATCATTTATCCCTGTACTTCCAACAAAACACACATACCGTGTGCCAATTTTAGCTTTCCATTCAATTCTTGAATTGTCGACACGCATTGGTTTCTTTATAGTGTCACCTCGTGACTTTGATGATTAAAATGAATTATCAAAGTTGCACAATTCCAATGAATTTCACCAAGAGTCTTGAACCTATGCATGCCCAAAATTATTCCAAATATATTGCTAGGTAATATCAAGAAATCTAATGTAGACGTGTGTTCATTGAATCTCCAAGTTATCTGTTCACACTTCCTAGTAATCAACAACTTATTATCGAAGCAACCATCACCGAAAAATCCTTGATAAACTATGTTTTCGAGTCCCACCAACTTGACCCATTTGTCACTAGTGTC